GGAGGAGGCCTCAACTCATAGAACAGAACAATTAATTGAATTCAGCAAGGTCACAGGATACAAGATCAACATAGAAAAGTTAATTATTTTTCTATATATTAGTAATGAACACTAAAAGTATGCTGAAATTAAAAGAAAAATGTCATTTACAACTGCTCAAATAAAAGATAGCATAAATATAACAAAACATAAACAGGACTTTATTCCACAAACTACAAACAAAACACTGATAAATCAAAGCTCAAAATAAATGGACATATCGTGTTCATGAATTAGAAAATTCAGCATGGAAAGCATGTCAATCTTCTCCAATTTGCTGTGCATGTTTAATGCAGTTCCTATCAAAATCCTTACAAGACTTTTCATAAAATATATAGACAAGATTATTCTAAACTTTATATGGAAAGACAAAGGAACTAGAATAGCTGAAACAATTTTGAAAAAGAAGAATAAGGTGAAATAAATCGCTATCCAACTTCAAGGCTAATTATGTAACAACAGTAATCAAGATTGCTTGGTATTCATGGAGGAACAGAAGGGGAGGAGTAGACCCATAGGTCAATGGAACAGAATAGAAGACCCAGAAAAAGATGCATTCAAATATGCCCAACTGGTTTTGACCAAGGTACCACAGCAATTCAATGCAGGGAGAATAAACTTTATGACAAAAGGTAAAATTAACCCCATCTAAACCTCATAGCTTATACGAAATTTAACTCAAAATGGATTGTGAACTTAAATGTAAAATGCAAAACTATAAAACTTATAGAAAACTTATAGAAAAAAACACAGGATAAGATTTTTATAGAAAAAACACAGGATACGATTTTCAGAATCTAGGGGTAGGCCAAGTGTTCTTAGGCTGGACACCAAAGCATGGTCCATAAAATGAAAATTGATATATTGCGCTTGATTAAAATGTGAAACTTTTGTTCTGTGAAAGACCCTGTTAAGCCAATAACAGAAAAGCTACAGACTGAGAGAATATATTTGCAAGCCATATATCCAACAAAACACTAGTATTAGAATAAATAAACAACTGTCAAAACTCAATAGCATAATAAAAGAACAAATAATCTTACTAAAAGTAGTCAAAAGACATGAAAAGACATTTCTCTGAAGTGATATACAGATGGAAAATAAACGCATAAAAATGTGTTCAACGTCATTAGGTATTAGGGAAATGCAAATTAAAGCCAAAATGAGATACTGCTACACACCTATCACAATGGCTAAAATAAAAAATAGTGACAATACCAGATGCTGGAGAAGATGAGAAGAACCGGATTCTATTGCTGGTGAAAATGTAAGCTGGTACAGAACCTATGGAAAAGTTTGGCAGTTTCTTAAACATGCAATTACCTATGACCCAGCAATTGTACACTTGGGCATTTACCCCAGAGAAATGAAAACTTCTTAATGTTTGTGCATAGCAGCTTTACTCATAATATCCCCAAATTGGAAATAATAAAAAATGTCTTTCAATGGGTGAGCAGTTAAACAAACTGTGGTATATCCATACTATTACACAGTAAAAAAGAACAAATTACTGGTACAGGCAGCAACTTGGATAAATGTCCAGTGAATTATTGTGAGTGGAAAAAAAATCCAAAGGATTACATACTGTGTGCTTCTATTTATATACATTTTTGAAATGAGAGAATTATAGAACTGGAGAACTGATGTGTGGTTGCCAGGGGTAAATGAGGCAGAGGTGGGAGGGGCTGTGGGAGGGGCTAAGGGAGGGTACAAGGGAGTAGAAAGTGGATGTGATTGTAAGAGGGCAACATGAGAGATCCTTGTAGTGAAGATGTTATCTTGACCCTGTCAGTGTCAATATTCTGGTTATGATATTGCACCATGGTTTTGCATGATGTTACTATTGGAGGACACTGGGTAGAGGGTATGTGGGATTATTCTCTATTGTTTCTTACTTCTTCATGTGAATCTATAGTTATCTCAAAATTAAGAAAAAAATAGCTAAGGAAGAATCATTGCCTCTGATTTCAGTTACCTTTTCTAGCCAAGGGTCATTTAGAAAACATGGGTTTATGGCATTCCATTTCCAGGTATCTGTGATGTCTATCTATGCAATGATTAAATTACCTTTTATAAATATCAATACCATCAATACCTTCCATGACTGACCAATCTTTGTGATTGACATGGCTTTTTATTTATTTTATTTTATTTTTATTTTTTTTAAGTACAATTTCCATTTTATTTTTCTCCAGAGAATAGTCTGTCTCAGTCTTTAAGGACTCAGCTCCTTACATGGGCTTTGGTGGGGGACGTGGGGCAGCACCCGCAGGTCTAAATCGGGGAGGGGGTGTTCGGTCCTTGCGGGCTTCACGAGATCGATTCCTGACTACTTTGCTGTGAATTGCACAACTCACACAGTAATGCAACTTCACATACAGCTTGGGAAGCGTATAGGCATCAAAGACGCTCGCTTCAGAAATGTCCCTGACCGCTGCGGCCTCCACTATGTTTCGAATGACGAATTTCTTAATGGCCTTGTCCTTGGGCACGCATCGGGCACAGTTAGTGCAGCGAATAGGCTGCACATGGCCGCGGCCCTTTTTGGCACGACCGTTGTTCCTTCTTTTCTTTGTCATTTTGGACGTATGGACCGAAGAGAGGAGGACATGGCTTTTTAAGACAATAATTACTTTCAATCAAGCTATAATTAAACCTGCAGGCCTGGGAGTCATCTTGTCTCAGACTTTTTCACATATCATTTAGTCTTGTACATTGATTTTAGGCCATGCCATTGCCATGATGTCTAAGCTCTTGGATGAACATCATTGTAACTCCCAAATGTTGAGAACCTATTTTATAGTTGTAATAGTTACTATTTCCTCCAGGGCACTCACTTTGAACTCATTTGGGACTACTAGTGATGTTTCCCATGGCTGGCCCTGAAAATTGGGAAAAAGCAAATTTGGTTCTTAGTTTCCCACCTGCCATCCACCACCTGCCACCTGTGCATACCACACTTCAGCTGCCAAGCCAAAGAAAATGCGTTGTAAAGGCACATGTGCATTCATAACATGACGTTTCTTTGGCAACCCCACTGGGTCCTCAGCCCCAGCCTAGTACAGGGTACCTGAGTGACGGTCATTGCTCCATGTTGTCAGACAAGTGGAGTGTGGGGCAGAGAGAATGGAAGTTCCTCTGGGGTGTATTAGAGTGTTTGGGTACAGAGGATCCTTCAGGTTCTGCCCGGTCTGCTGACTTCCAAACCCGATAATGGTTCCAGTGTATTTTGCCTGCTGAAGTGACTACCCTGAGTAATTCACTCTCCATGGAACACAGTGGCAGCTTAATGGGCAGACCTCTTTGGATTTAACCAAAATCCAAATCTAAATCCAAATCTCTTTGGATTTAGACTTTGGTCTAAATCAGGCCTGTAGCATTCAAAGCCCAGAAGGATGCTGCCCTGCCCATTAAAGTATATTTCGAACAGGAGAAGGATGGTGGTTTTGAGGAGTGGGTGGTATTTATCATGTACTCTGTCTGATTGCTTTTCAACCCTACAGGTCTGGGCTCCTGCTAATTTGTGTGGCTGTCCTAGTGCCTTAAGATCCTGGAGTGAGAAGTATTATGCACTAGGTTGGAAAGGTCAACTGTGACAGAAAGAGATTCTATCCTTGTTAACATCTTGGCTTGATTAATCTCTGCTGTTTCTGTCTTTTTCTGCAAGTTTGGCTCACCGGATCTTAGGTTCACCAATTCTTTTATTTACTGAAATTTAGAAGACAGAGGCAGAAGAAGAAAATATTGTAAACTCTTTTTTTTTTTTTAAATAGAGACAAGGTCTCACGATGTTGCCCACGCTGGTCTCAAACTCCTGAGCTCAGGTCATCCTCCTGGCTTGGTCTAAGATTTTAAACTTTGAATTTTCACTGTTTGGGGTTCAGCACATAATTTTTTTCTATTAAAAGTATTCGGATAAGACTAAATTTATATTAGGTCTTTGTTAGATTATTTTTGATAGTTTGTTCATTCTATCATCATTCAAATATGCTGTAAATTTGTATATATGGAGATTGTTTTGTATTACAGGACTCTCCAGGCATGAATGGAGCTTATTTAGCCAATGGTATTTAGCATTCATCCTATAATCTAGACATAGATATTCAGTCATTTTATGATAACAAAATCTTCTTAGGATGTGGGGTGAAAATAAACTTCATTTTTGAGGCAAATAAAACTTCAAAAACAGTTACTATCTACAGTGCTTATTAATAAACTATGATCCCTTGAGGATCCTATACTTAAATAACACCAAAAATAAGGAGGGAGGCAAATGAAAAGAAAAACGGAAATGAAGACCTGCTCCCCGCCTCAGAGTTTACTTTTTTCACTCTCCATTTCCAGGCCGGAAGCCTCAATTTTTTAATCCTGAGTTTTTAGCACCGTTTTAGTCTTCAGCACCGTTTTGCATTTCCTGGACATATATCACGCGGTGACTCACAGAGCTGGGGTGCACAGGGAAGGCACATCGAGTTGCTCTAACAGAACAAGATGACGTGATGTCACAGAGTCAGCCCCGTGTAATGCGTCATCCACACAATATTACCAAGCAGTTCTTGTCTTGATTCTTAATCTGAGAAGATGCTGCAAAATGCTGGAGGGGAAAAAAAGTCTGTCTTGTGGGATTGCCTCCCTCAGGCATAAAATGAAAACTAATTTGATCTTTTGGAGGTACCTTTGCTCCCAAAGGATCCCAATGTACTCAGCCTCTGCCCCAGGAGTATTAGTCATGCATCTCGGAAATGTTGCCTCCCCTGTGCTGGAAAAGGCAGGTCCCTCTGAGGCAGCCCCCTCTGTAACAGGTTTTATTTTGAGTGGGATATTAAATAGAATTTCTAATTAGAAAGACAGGGGAAATTGTAGGGAGACAAAATAATTTCCCATGTTAGAAGTTGACCAAGACATAGTGGTTAATAATCTTCCTTTTTAAGGGAACTGTATAATTTAACGAGAATAGACCCTCCTTTATTGCAGAGGAAATAGTGTGAGTGCACAGGGACCTGAATAGGATGAAAGGGCCAGAGCCCCAGTTGGAGGAAAAGTGGACAGTAATCAATAAGGAAGAGAAGAAATCAATCAGTAGGTTGAAATGGTTGAGAATGCTGCCAGGCCATCATCTGTATGAGAATATGTGCCTGGTGTTTTAGAAATGTTTGTTAGAATTGAAATGACCATCAAAAGACAGGATACAGTTTCCTCTTGAAGCTCTTTAATTGTCCATCATATTAAAGATGAAGGTCCTTAAAGGCCATCTGCTCCATCTTCTGCATTCAGACTGAATTGTTTAAAAACTTCTCATAAAGATGAGAATCCTAGGGAAAGAACGTCACAGAACCAAAGGCTAGTGAAATCTACATGAAATCCCTCAAGTTTCAACTGAAACTCTTCTTGTTTCAGTTGTTTAAATCTCAGGGCTGGTGGCTGGACTAGGAGAACTGGTGCCAGCCAGTGTCTCCCATGATGCACTGCTCTTGAACAAGGCTCTTCTTGTTCTTGGTTTAGAGGAGATAAGAATTAGTTCTTCACAGTGTAAAAGCCACACTTGACTTTGTTAACGTGGCTCTTCTTGCTAAACTCAACAATCCATTTCTTTAGAAGTTTTTCTGTTTCCTTTCTCAATTCTGACCCTGTGAAGGTTAACGTGAAGGTCTGATACTGAATGAGGAAGCCCTTGAACCCTGCCAGGACCTCACTTACTTAAAGCATTTTTACTATTATAGTCATTCCGAGGAGCTGCAGAGCCCTTCACTGTGGAGATGGTAGACAGTTGGATAGCTGACAGGACAGGAAAAAGCCAGTGAAATCTTTGAATTTGTGTAGCACAAGAACCAGTGACGTGTTGTAAACTGGTGATAGCAAAAGCAGTTTAACACAAAAGCAATTTTGACTGAATTGGGCTTCCAGTGGTGCCTGTGGGAAGAGTTCCAGAGCAGGGCATCATGGGAGACGCTGTCTGGCACCAGTTCTCCTGGTCCACCTACCGGCTCTGAGGTTTAAACATGGCGGCTCCTGTTTTCCTCCCAGCCCTAGTGCCAAACAGCAGTCCCACAGGCATCTTTCCCGGAAATGGTTAGGGTTAATGGAACGATTGTTATCACGAGGTAGGCTGGGGTTTACAAGTGTAGTATCCCAGAGGCTGTTGATGTCCTTCTTTGCAGCCTGTCTATAATCCAGATAAATTGCACTAGGTGGATGGTGCTGACGGGCTTCAACTTCTTTCTCCTACGGGTGAATAACTATGTTGAAGGTAACACCACATGTTAATTGGAGCAATTTTTAAACTAATTAAAATAGTAAAATTATCTGTCTAAATAACATGTTGCCATAGCATATTAAAAAAACAAAAACAAAAACAAAAACAAAAAAAACCAAATGCCTAAGTAGGATAAAATACAATTTTCCACTAACCTTGAACTTCGGTCTCTGCTTAGGCAAATCCTGATTCTGAGAAAATATTGGAAAAAAAAAAAAACATTCATTCAACAAACGTGCTTTGAGACATCCTTTGGAATCAAGCTTCATGCTAGGCATTGGGTTTGCTATAGTGAATAAGACAAAGTTGACCTCAGAGAGCTCACATCTGCAGTAACACACTTTCCCAATGAACTGCAAACCTCTTTTGAAATTGCAGTTGTTTCAGGATATATGTGGTGCCTGGGTTCCGACTCTAGTTCCTGGGAGTTTCAGAACAGGAAGGGTATGAAAACCTTTGTAAGTCCAGGGGAATCAAAATAAAAAATGCACCAGGCGAAGGACAGTCTTTTCACCTGATTCTAGTTCTCTGAAGAGAAGCATTGTTTGCTCCTTCTTTTCCTTGTGGCAAAGCAGAAGAGGAGTACTGTCTGAAGCATCAGTCTCATGGTGTTCTTTTCTTCCAGAGAGCAATTGCCCTGCTAACTTGTAAGTCTTTTCTGCTTTCCTTCACCTTCCAACAGGTAAATAGTTTAGTTTCATAGAGTGGTTTCCTTACCTTCATATTTTGATTCCCTGTGATTTTTATAGTGTGGCCATTGAGATAGTTTACTAATATTTTCAAGTAATTATTTTTTATAGAATATATCTATTAAAAACCGTGCATGCTCATTAAATTTGAAACATGCAGATATGCAGAAGGAAGAAAAAAGTCTATAATCCTACCATCTAAACATATCTACCATTTGGTACTTTGGTGAACTGCCAGGCCATGAACTGTCCCAGGCCATATCTTTTTGGCTTAAATTTTATTTAAAAATGTGAAATCATAATAAACATTATGCACACTTTGATTCCCTCCGCGTTTTGACTTAGCATTGCATCTTAAGCATTTTCCATTGTATAATGTTCCTTTTCCAATCCTTGGCTTGATTACATCATAATATTCCATTGAGTGAAGTTACCTTATTTTATTTAATTATGTTCTCTCATATGTAGAATGCCAACTTTTCCCTGTTATAAACAGGATAAGATGAATATCACTGTGCAGATTATTTTAATCTAAAACTAAGAAGATACTGTTTCTATCAAAACAAGTTCAAGTGCTCTTCAGCAAGGCCTAGGGCTTTAAAACACCATCCTTGCATCCTAAGAATAAATTCCACTTGATCGTGGTGGGTGATTCTTTTAA